ATTTTCTGCATTTAATAGGAGGGTTTTGCTTTTTTAATAATAGGAGTGTGTATTGTACTTCCAGGAGGCTACATCTTTCTCTGCCAGAAGAGTTCTGTTCTATTTTCTAAATCCCCAGTAGTAATTCTCAGGTTAAATTTAGGCTTATTGTAAACTAAGATCGTTCTGGCAAATATGACCAGAGACGCTTATTTTTTCTTGTGAGAAGTAGCTGTAGTATGTGATGGTTGTAATTAATTGATGTATTTATGGCTTAAAGTTTTGTTCATGAAAAATCCAGATGTGTCTGTTAGAAACAAATAGATATTTGGAATACATGATAGAACTAAAGTCGTTTGTCAAATGTCTAATAAAGTTGAGACTTTCATTAATATAAATATAAGCATATGTTAGCTCATATTCACAACTGTGAATACACTCCAGCTTTCAGTTGCTTTACTAAATGAAGTATTTAGCTTGATCTGTCACAGATGGTGATCTATTATTATTAYTATTTTTAAAGATGGCAGCCAGGAACATACTTAATATGTGAAGTAGTAAATCAGGGGAATAATTCATGATCGAGAGGGGACATCTTAGTTGCTGGATACATCAGTGCACATCAGTGCACTACTCTTAAAGTAGTTCATCTGATCCTTCAAACCTTACCTCAACCTTACTACAAGTTGGAAGAGAGCAAATAGGTTGTTAAAGTACATTTCCAAGTTACAAAGTCAACTTTTTTGGTGTTATTGCATTCTCCAGCCTTTGAGAAGCTTGAAAGAACTCCTGATCTGCAAACAAGACCAGGAAGTTATTGCTAAGCAGTCGTGTAATGAAGTCTGAACCTTTGCACCTCTTTTTTTTTCAAATTGGTACCTGTGTTTAATCCAGCTGCAAAGATTTGCAAAGATGAGAAGTTGCTCAACTTTTCCTGACCAAACATTTTATGCTAGAATTGTCAAATCTGACTGCTAAGTCAGTTTTTGTTGGATTTTAGTTCAGACCTAAATGCATCTTTACTGGATAGAAGGAAGCCCCCAAATAGTTCCCAGATTGCTGAGATGTGGGCTAGCAAGTAAAGAAGAGGGAGATGTTGAATTTCTGCCTCTAGGTTCTTGCTGGGTCATTTTTTTTTTGTTCCTAGATTATGATGCATGGCTAAAGTTTTGGGGTATCTTTCCCATTGCATTTCACACTTCCTTGGACTAGGAGAGTGTTTTCTTACTTCTCAGCTCCACTCTCCACCAAAGGAAGTGATTTGAGATTGGAGGTAGAGCAATAGCTTCAGAGTTCTCCATCCCCAATGTATTGCAAGATACCCCTCCTTCTCTAAAGAAATTTGAATATCTGCTTTATTTTCCAGTGCTTCTCCAGGCATCAGCATGGAACTCACCTGATCTTGGACCATCCCACCTCTTAGGGGGCCCCAAGCAAGAGCAGTAAATCTTGTCACAGTTCTGTTCATTTATCCTGCTCCTGGCCTACAAGGACTGCAAACTGCTGCAGAGCCCCTAGAACAGCTTGCAGACAACTGCATGACGACACTGTTGGCTAAACTATCTCTTTAAAAAGTCTTGGGTTTCAGCTGTAATTGGCTTGGCTTTCCTTACTGCTGAAGGAAATTTGGTAGCAGGCCAGTGGCCTCTTGAAGCCATGAATTAGTTCTGAAAGAGCTCTGTAAGTGCTAATTTTAATTAAAAAAAAAAAAGATATAGGAAGAATTCTTTATTGGCTGATAGCTTATAGATTATGCCTTTGGTTGGCTCATAATAGTGAATTACTAAACTGAGGGGAATTGTACTCAAAGCACAAGCTGTGCTAACTTTAGGCTGGAGCTTGGGACGTGTGTTCAAGCTAGCAATGGAAACAGTCCGCAGGCAATTAGTGTTGCAACTTCTATTTGTTAATTGTATCCAAACTTTAATACTTATCCAACCCTTAAACCAAGTTTATAGCCTAAATTAGCTGCTCACCATTCATTGGTGTAATTGTAAGTGATTCCACTGAAGTCTGTCTTGTGCGTGCAAAAGTGAGGCACAAAATTTCCAGGCTGAATTTCCAAGCTGAAATGAATTCTTATGAGTTGGTTTGTATTCCTTCTGGATGTCCAGGGACTGCCAGGTGCCTATACTGGGGGCTTTTTGGGTGGGAGAGGCAAATTTTCATTGATATTTCCTATTTTTGTAAAAGGATGTCACTGAATTSATTTTGGAAAGCTTAACATGATCTTACTGTTACCATTTTCAATTCTCAGGACATCAGTTAACATGCTGGGGTTACAAGAATGAAAATTTTATGACAGTGGTTGACTCAATGGAAATGGCACTGTGGTTTGTTAAGAGAGCCACATTTAACTGAAGGCTTTTTCTGTCCTGAAAGGAATGACTGGGTAATATTTAGCTGAGAAAGGCATTTCTTAATTAAAAAGTCTTGATCATTCAATTGTTCCTTACAACAGTCAGTATAGATTAGAGATCTGTGCCTTTACAGAGATGTATTCACCAAATTGAAGAAATATCCTAAGGAATTAAGGCTTAAGAGCCCTCATAGATATCTGTACCTTATCCTGAGACTTGGATAAAAGTACTTAAACTTCTTATAAAATATTGTAGATTGTTAGTTGAGTATTGGGCAAATCAGTGTGAAGAGCTGTGAAGACCCTATAACAATTATATCAGTTATGTAAATGCTCTTTCATTGGATTTTCAACTTTTTTTTTGCTGCTGGAATGGCATGAATCAAAGACTTTATTCAGCCTATTCCTTAATTACCTGACAGGCTAAATAAAGAGTACTAATATTCCAGTACAAAATTAGATGAAGGAGAGAGAAAAGGGAATTTCCCTCTTACTATTATTTCTCTGTAAGTGCTAGCTATTTGAGCTTTAAGTTAGGCTTGGTAATGTCTAGAAAGGAAAAAGTGTTCCTGGCTTTCAGGAAAGTGCAAGCTGGAAACTGTTGAAGTAAGAAAACCAAGAGCCTGCTCTGTGAYGTGATGGCAGAGCTTTCAGTGACATTAAGGAAGGGTGAACGACATGTGTACTGCATGTTTCATGGCTGAAAACCCCGAGAGGTCTTGCTGAAGRTGGTAGGTATTAAAATAGTTCTCAGTAGGACATCAGCGTTTTTGAGGTGGTCGTMCTCTAGAGGGAATGTCARATTGAGCCCTTGAGTGACCCTGTGATGTTGGCCTCAGCAATTCCCCATTTTTATTTATTTATTTATTRCTGTTAACAGCCAGCAGTGCTGTGCTGCTCAGTTTAGATGGTGGTTTCCTTTTTTTTCTTCTTGGAGCACATCTGAAAATCGCTTTAATGTGCTAAGCTACAGAAAGTGTGGAAAATCCCCTACAGGTAATGAGAATTTGGGGCCAGTTCAAAGAAGGAGGTGGAGGGAAATTTTGAAGACCTCAAATGACTTTACATGGTGAAGTGACARTTCTGTGGTGCTATGAGCAGTCTGAGGAGCTGTAAAAAACACTCTGGAAAGTGAAGGTACCGTTTAGTATAATTTGAAACAAGRTCTTTGTTTCCATTACAGAGAATGGAAAGTAGGGTATAGGAGAAGCAATAGTGTAAAAGAACTAAAGATGGTGCTTCTAAAAGAATTCTCCTTGAGTTTATAACATGGGAAGGTCCTAAATGATAGTGACCTTGCTTAATATTTGCTTTTCTCGGTCTGTATCTCTTCTTCCTTTATTGGACTGATGAGCTCAGGTGGCTGAAGTTGCAGTATGATGTTAATATTTGTGCCCTTGGTCAGGGATGGGATGTTGAAAGGGATGATGAAAGGGATGATATGGGAAAGAATAAGAGTTTTTTTACCCATATATGTTATTTCCTAGTCTTAATGCAGAGCATTACGGATTTTATTTAGCAGTACTTCCATTGCTTGGGTAAAACTGGAAGAGATGAAGCAATGTAAGAGGAAAGAGCCTGAGCGTCCTCTTCTGTATGCTGTAATGCACTGATTCTTGATTCTTAGCCTTGCTTTAATCTTAATCATTATTTTGTTGTGGCAGGGARCTTTAATTTTTGCTAAAAGAAATGGCCATTGAAGCATACTCAGAATTTTGCTCTGCTAGGTAGGTGATGACTTGGCAAAACCTACACTTTGTGTTGYATGGGCTGAGTTATCTGTTGATCCCTTATTGCTCTGCTGCCTGGACCTTCAATCAAGTATTTACTCTAGTAGTAAAGCTGCTGAAAGTAAGTTGTTATGAAAGGAGAAGACATTAACAATTAAGAAACTGTGAATRGAAGAGTAAACTTTTTTTGCATGCCTTAAAAGCTGTATTCTGCAACTTTAGATCACTTCCTATTCTTCCAAATAATATATTGAGTTCTAGGTTCGCACTGCAATACTCCGTAATCCTAAGGGACACATTAATGTTTTTTCAGTTGTGTTTTGCCAGTACTGTCCTCAGAGTATCTTTCTGACAAATACAGTGACTGATGTTTTCTTTTTTCACCCCAAAGCCAAACTAAATGATCATAAACACCTAATCATTTTCTATTCCCTACTCCAAACTTGATTTAATTAAGAAGTTTATATTTTCAGTGCCAAGAGGACCATAGTGTATTGGAAATACTAAAGGTGGTTGATGCTGTTGGCAGAGTGGTCGTATCTTATCTAAAAGATGCCTGTTTTTTGGCTGGCTAGTGACAGAATTGCTCACAATAACTGCCATGTCTTATGTTATCAACCATGCTATGACTTAATAGATACTTCATGAGAACCTTATAATTAGTTACCCATGTTGTCTCCTGTAGCTCTACACCTTTAGCCTCTATTAAATTTAGGGAATCTGGTACTTTATAGATTTTGGACTTGCTGTTTCACCTGGGATAGTCTTTTATAGGCAGTGCAATTTATAATTCTCCTTTATTTCATTTCAAACTAGATGGTAATGATCTGAATTGGTGCTACCTCTGTTCTTTTGGAGGTAACTGATGCTGTTGCTGTTAGAAAGCATGCAGGGGATCCTTAATAGAGCTGTAACTTCTCTCTTCTTTACAGGCTTCACAGAGCCCAGTGTGCAATTAAACAGACTCAGGTAACTGTCCAAAAAATAGGAAGGGAGATTGAAGAAAAGCTGAGATGTACATCTACAAGCAATGAACTGGTATGTTTGTCATCCCAACCCTTTTTTCTATAGTTTTACTAAAGTGCATAGCTCATGAGCCTTAACCATAAGTATTTTTTAACATCAATTTTAAACCTTTCCACCTTAAGCGGAAGCTTACCTAAGGGGGGTGGTGTAATGGGTTTTACATTTATATGTGTTCCTGATGCAGATTAATTGCTTATACTATTTCTGACGTACCTTTGTATAGCATTTTTTCTATGCTATAAAAGCACAGATATTTCACAGTGAATGGAAGCTGTTTATCAGGACAGACAAACTCTTAACAATTTGAGTTAATCTTGAAGAGAACAAGTAGTTCTCTTTAGTTAGGATTTAGTTAGGTGATTTTTACTAGCTCTACCTTCTTGCACCTGATGCCCATTGGGTGAATGGGATTCATGCAAAAGCTCTCATGGAAGCAACACCTTTGGTTTAAATATTAATTGTGCTAGATTTTGCAATCATAGAATCCTTGAGGTTGGAAGGGACTTGTAGAGGTTGTCTAGTCCAATCCTCCTGCACACAGAGGGTCACCTACAGCATGTGGCACAGGGCTGCGTCCAAGCGGGTTTTGAAGATCTCCAAAGGAGGAGACTCCACAACCTCTTTGGGCAGCCTGTCCCAAGGCTCTGTCACCCTCACTGTTAAGAAATTTCTCTTTAAGTTCCTGCAGAGCTTTGGTGCTTCGGTTTGTGGCCATTTCCTCTAGTTTCCTCAATGGCCACTGCTGAAAAGAGGCCGGCCCCATCTTCCTCATTTCCTCCCTTTCCTCCCTCCCTTATAGACACTGCTCAGATCTCCCCTCAGCCTTCTCTTCTCCAGGCTGAACAGGCCCAGCTCCCTCAGCCTTTCCTTACAGGGCAGATGTTCCAGGCCCCTGATCACCCTTGAAGCCCTTGGCTGGACTCTCTCCAGCAGCTCCAGATCCTTCTTGTCCTGGGGAACCCAAAACCCCAAGGAAAGAGCTTCCTTTATAAATACGTGTAAGCAGAACTATATGAAGAATCCAAAATGACAAAGGTCGCACACATAATGCAACCTCTTAGTAAAATGCTCTGTGGTATAAARCATTGGTTCTGTGCTTTCCTTGTTTTAGCAGTGGAAACTTGTTTGGGCTTCCTGGGCTTTGTACTGCAGGACTCATTCYTCCCATGGGCTGCATCTCCTCTCCTGTGCTCACCGAAGCACCTGGTCTAGGGCAGCAATCAGGAGGCTGCCATGCCTCTATAAATGTGTGAAATGGAGTTTCATACCTTAATACTGAGTCATGTTTCCTGCTGGGGACTTGAACCAGAGTGCTGAGTCTACATATGTAACCAAAGTGAAAATGAGGTGGAAGGAAAAGCTCAGCAAAAACGGACTTTTCTACATGCAGCTAAAGTTGAAGAAACAGCATTTCCTTAGACTTATTCCTTAGAAAGGAAAAACTTGTTGAGTTATGCAAAATGACAGTGTCTGTTAGTACCTATGCAAGACTTACAGGTAGGTCTGGCTGATGCCCCTTCATATTTTGAGTTGTACCAGAGGCACAACTTGACTGAATGAATGTAAGTTCTTGTCCATTTTGAATCCATTTTCAGTTACTCTCAAATATCTGGAACATTTGGCATGTATTTCTTAAAACTGTATTTAAAGAAAATTGTCCTTTATTACATGCATAGCAATACAGTTTCCTAATGATGAATTTTCCTGGTTCATTGGGAAAATACACAAAATGCAGCAAAGAACAGAGCAGCTGCTTTTTAAATATGCAGGAAAAAGGTAGAATAGATAAGGGAGCTATTCTGTGACTTCCAGAGGAAGGTTTCTTCAAACATAATTGTATATAATGGCATAATCTATTCCCTGCTATGTGTGCACCTTCCTTCTGTAGCCTTTTCTTGTTAGTCTGAGGTCGGAAAACTAATATAATCACATAGCTCAGAGATGGCTTTTTCCAAAACATGCTTCAGTTTAATGTAGGCTCTGGATTGCTTGTGTCTCCTGTTGCTACCAAACCTTTTGCCAAGGAACAATTCCCATGCCATTAACTCTCTGCTATTAGTCTTTTTATCCTTGTCCAGCAAAAAAATTCCTCCTACCTCTCCTGCTTTCTGCCCTGGGCCAGGCTGAATCAGTGAGCACACACAGGGGAGGAGATGCAGCCTCATAGGAGGAATGAGTCTTGCAGGATGGAGCTGAATTTCTCTCATCCAGAGCAGTGAACTGATTTAGGATCTTTAATAATTTATTGCTTTTCGTAACCTATTTGGTTCAGTTATGCTTTTTCAGATGCTCTTTTTCCCCCTTCCCATTCTGTTGCCCTGGTTATAGAAAAGTTTGTGTGCAGAATAACTTTTAAAGAATTAATCTTCAGTTTTTCCTCTGATAGAAAAAGAAGAGTGAATGTTTACAGTTGAAGATCCTGGTGCTACATAATGAACTGGAGAGGCAGAAGAAGGCCCTGGGTCAAGAAGTAGCCTTACTGCATAAGCAGCAAAATAATTTGCATGAAAGAGGTGGGTATAGAAATACTTCTGTTTCTCATCTGCATTGTTGTATAAAGCAGAGCTGTGTAGGTGTTTGGTCTTTTGAAATTTTGAATTTTCCAAATGAATCTAAAATACAGAGCTTTTACTAAAAATGAAATGTTTGCTGTGCAAGTCCTTGAGCTGCCTTAACTGAACTGCTCTGTTGGAGACATGAGGGGAATGGGTGTTAAAAGAAAATGAGGTCTTGGTGGTGGTATTTGGCTGCTGAAGGGTGAACAGTGCACGAAGACAGATGTTTATCCTGCACTGTTGCTTCCCAGTTTGGCTGTATAACATGGAAAAAGAGCACCTAAAAATAGTTGGAAGGTCAATGCCAAAATTTATGTAATATCTGCTGTGGGAATGTCAGATAGTTAAGAAAATGCCTGATACTATATATTTTTTTCCTGTTGTACAGAAAATGTATTTCAGACAGAATACCAGAAGCTTCAAGAGCATAATGAATCCTTGCATGAATTAAGGAAGGAATGCACTGCTAAGAGGTAAAAGGACTCACGGGTGCTTTCTGCTTGCCTGCAATTGGAAAGGAAATAGAGGRCTTGTAAATAAGGCATTTGGCTTGGACTTTTGTTGCACCAAATTCTCCCTGTTGTCACCCCAAGACTTCTATTAAGAAATCTCTGTATTAATTTCTTGTTGTCTGAAGTGGGAATTAACAATGGCAAGACTGGAATTAAYTGAAATAGAAGAAAACAGATGCTGTGTTGCACCTGTAGGCTGTCATAGGCCTTCTGTGTTATGCATCACTGCTTTGTAATACTTCATGGTGTTAGTCTGAATATGCCTGGAATATGATATACACCCAAGCACAAATGAAGAAACCTGCATCTTCTGTAATTATCCTTGTGAMGTTACCTAGCTTTCTGATGGCAGGGGAAATACTGGCTGGGGTGATGCAGAGGAGATGCAAGGGCTTCATTTGTCTACTCAAAATTTTGAGGTATCTAATGGTTTTGGGTTCCTTTTTCTTGAAGGGAATTGTTCTTGAAGACGAATGCCCAGCTGACTATTCGATGCAAGCAACTGCTGACAGAGCTGTCCTATATCTACCCTATTGATTTGGTATGTTTCAGATTTTCCAAAAAACAGCCTCAAGTGGAAAAGAATTTCACATTTCTTGCACCTAAAGCAAAGCTCTGTTCTCTTCCTGATGAAACATGCTCTCTACTCCTGTCACTTTTCCATCTTTACATCATGTTRCAGTTTTAAACCTCCTAAGAAGAGAACTATCTCATGCTAACATCTAACATCTCTTAAATAGTCACTACTATCCAAGTGGAATGTATATGTGTGTGTTTAGCTATAACTTACTGCATATGTAGTAATAATTTCATGTGTAATTATTTAAAATAAAARTGACAGTATGTTAACTAAATTTTAGCAGATTGCACAGCACTTGCTGAAAGAYTGAACTCTTAAGCCCTTTATATGAGGAGTTGATTAAAATGAAGCTCTCTTTAGAGAAATATGCATTTCTCTATTATTTTTTTCTGAGTTTAGTGTAGAAAAAAGAGCATTTGGCCTTCTGGATTTTGACTTACTCTTTTTTTTAAAAAAATGCTTGCTTTATTGTCATATGATTTTATACAAGTTTTTTTATTTTCTGGGAATCATCCTGTTTCAATTTCTACTGTTGATTTTTGAATTTACAGAATGATCAAAAGGATTACTTTGTTTGTGGAGTCAAGCTGCCCAATTCTGAAGACTTTCAAGGTATCTGGATATTCTTAATTTAACACTTACACTTGACACTGATCTAAACTTGTTTAAATTAAGTAAACAGTAGCTTAAGGATAAAATTTGTGCTTTGAAAAGACCTAGATTATATTTTAATCTTATGTTTTTTATTCTTGTTACTAGCTAGCACAGAGGGTTTTGCTACTGATTCTTGCAGAAGTGTTTCTGTATTTTAAGATTATTTAACCAGATACTGGAATGGGTTGTCCAGATCTTGATCAGCTAATGTGCAAGAATTGCTGTGTCCTAAAAAAGTAACTTCAGTAGGATTTTAAAACTGTCYTGCAAGCAACTCCTTATTTTGTATAGCAGTATTTCAGTAGCCAACTCTTTCAACAGTCTACGTTATCCTGTTGCAGAAATATGTATGCCTGCCAGTGTAACAGCTGTATAGGTAACTGCATGCAGGCATTTATTTGCAAATGTTTGATATCGATTGGAGATTTATTAAATTCCACTTGTGAATGTCTTGCTTCTAGCAGTCATTTTCTCTCAGGCAGGTTGTTTCTCGAGCAAAAAAAAACCCTCAGTTATCTAACACTTCCTAAAAATGTTCTGTAATAATTGTGATAATAGTGTGTATAATAAATGTTATAATAATGGAGGGTAGGACCTTTAATATGAATTAATTTAATAGTCTGACAAAGGTCAGTTTATTGCATCAGTTTGCTGGTTGCGCTAAGTTTGCAGTTTTGTAATTCCTGAGAACCAGTAGTATGCACTTTTGGCCTATTGGCAGTTTATTGCTGTTTACAGCCTTTAGAAATTCTTTTAAAACCACTCRAGAAATAGTAATAATATTGTATTACAGGAAAGAAAGACCTAGTATCCATTTCAGTGAAATGTGGAGTTAAACTCAAAGCACTTACTTGATTTCTTATATGTAAATTGCTAATAGAAAATTACACTTAAAAAGATCATCAAAAGAGGTTTGCTACAAGTGTTAAACATCTTTTAATAGAACATCTGATTAGAAAAGGGTGTAATTATTAAATCCATGTAACACGTTTTGTTCTAGAGCTCGATATGATTTCATATATGTTAAGCATCACTGAATGCTTTGCTTAGAGGACCTCAGTTTAGTTGGTGGCCCATGTGTCCAAAAGAATGTTTGTTGTCTGTATATTAAGGAGTTAATTTTCAAAAGATGCTGAAATAAGTCCTTCTATAAGTCACATTCTTTGTAAAAGAGGATGCAATTTCAAGCAATTTCAGTAGAAAGAGATGTGCATTCCCATCAGGGGAAACTTCAAGCTGGAATGTTAAATGCCAGTTTGATGGCAATGGTTTTAAACAGTGAGTTAATCCAAGCTCTTCCAGTTCTGGCAGGGAACAGAGCTTAAATGTTGGCGTTCAGTGTCTCTAATTGATCTCCCTAATGAATAAAGTTAGTGGAGTACATCTTTTCTGACCTTCGTGAAATGGCAACTGCATCTAGAGAAACACAGAAGGCTTAAGACTTAAGTTTTGTCTTAGGGAGAAGTGAAAGAACATTTCTCTACTTCCCCTTCTCTGTCCACCAGACTTTAAGACTTAACTTATAATTTTGAAGTGTAAAGCTAGAAGGACAACTTGGCCATCATGTGTTTTCTGAAAGATACCAACAATCACCAAATGGTCTATTTTAGATTTAAGCCCATTAAGTTGCAACATTTGATGGTTTCATCAGCTTTATCCTGCTTTGTGCTATAAGAACAAACATTTGAGTTTCCGKTGAGATTCAACTGGTTAAATAATGGATTTTCATTCTTGGCAGCAAAAGATGACGGGAGCATTGCTGTTGCCCTGGGCTACACAGCTCATTTGGTCTCAATGATATCCTACTTCTTACAAGTGCCACTCAGGTATCCCATAATTCACAAGGGCTCCAGGTCTACAATCAAAGATAACATCAACGACAAACTGACAGAGAAGGAGCGAGAGTAAGTATGATATAGAGGTACTTAGGCACTTAATATTTGTGTAAAATAGTTTCTGGTCTGATGCTGGAATTCTGTTTTCTAGTAGTCTGTCTTATTTTGTTGGTCTAGGTCTGCTGGTAGGCATTGACTGCATTTATAAAACGGTATAAAAATATAAATAGTGCCTTGTACATGTGAGCTGTGGCTGCAGTATGGAAATACCTTTTGTGTGTAGCTACTGGCTGTGGGAATAGACTGTAGATGCCACATACCAGGGTGGCATTTTGTTAAAATCCCTGGTTTAAAAAAAAAAAAAAAAAAAAAAAAGCAGAAACAATGTAATTAATCTACTGATGAATTTAACTTAATATTCGGTGGCCCTACATCTTGTCTAAAATTTTGTCTTTTACCGTGTAGGGTAGGAAATTGTCTTGCTGTCCTTAAATCCACTCTCCACATGCCTTCCCCTGCCTTTTGGTCCTTTTCCAGTGTTCTTGCTGTCGTTGCACTCGTGTGCTCAGATGTGCAAATAGTGGCAATCAGTGCCCTGGGTTCCCTTTGCAGCCTGCAACCGCAGAGCTCCGAGGAATGCAACCCTGAGCAGCTGTGGGAAGCTGTCGCCTGCAAACTTGGGGCACCAGCAGTTCTCTTGCTCTCTTTTTGTGCTCTCAGGCAGGATTTGAAAAAGGAGCAAGGAAAACACTCAGAGGCTGCTTTTGCTGTGACAAGGACCGTAACTAACTTCTTGCTTTGGAGGTTTTCTATCAAAGCGCTTAACAGTATTTCCTAATAGTCCCTGTCAAGATGAAAGGGCCTCTTCATGCTGTGCATAACTGAGAGAATTTGGGTCTTTTAGGAGTATCTGATTTCTGTTTGAAGTCCAGTGACTTTTGGCAGGACGGGGCTGGGAATTTGCCCTGATAGTTCAGCCATCACTGAGATCTCGCTGTTGAGGCATGATGATATATAGATTATAATAACTGTCTTGCAAATGAGTTTTGATACCATTTTGATAACTTGTCCAAATACTCCCTGAGTAATTTAGTAGAATATCAGTCTGGTTTTGCTTCACTTGAGAGCTCTGAGCACTTGATCATCCTCTTTCCTGTACGTCGTTTTCATGAGCATAGCAAACTAAGACATTTATATCTGGAGAAGAAATTTCTGAGGAATAGAGCTGCCTGTGTGTGGGGCTGGATAAAGATTAAACCAATTTCCTGTTGTCTGAGACAGATTGGAAGGGTCTAGTCCTGCAGACTGTAGCCTTCCAAGCCTTCATGACTTAATACTTCGTTTCGCAATACATTTGTGAAAGGAGAAAGTTTAGCTAAGAATATTAGTCCCTCTTGAGCCGTTTACCTGTGTTCTGCAAGATTTTTTCAGGATTAGCTCCTGCCTGAGACTTTCTGTTCCCAGATATTGGAGAGTCGGTCCTGCGAATTCCCAAAGGACTTCAGATGCTATAGAAAAACTCATATCTTCACTAGTAGTTTTATTTCTAAATTAATAGCTTGCATTTCTCATCTGCTCCTCAATAAATTGAACATAGTTAATTTGCATTATTGAAATTCTCTATTTCAGTAACCTCTTCTTAAACAGCTTTTCTAATTCCAATGTAAACTGTTGGATAATTACAGTAAGATTTTCTGAATAGTCAATCGTTATAATAATACATGGCATCATGATTATTAATTATATTAGACATTTTTCTTGGCTTCATGCTTTTATTTCTGCACTACAAATTTGCCTCTGACATCCATATTAAGAGCTTCTAAAAATCATGTATTGGAGCATTAACTGATGTTTTTCACTCAAATAGCTTAAGAACCTGTGTGGTTTAAATGTGTTATATTTGCTTCCTACATTTTTCAAGGCGCTGTGCCAGATTTCTAAAGCCTTTACCTGTTTTATTTTCAGAGCCATTTTTCTTCATAAATAATGTAGATACCTTTCAGAATCCATGTTTTTTCCAGGTACTTCAGATTTGTTTACTTGGATGATCCAGCTCACTTAAATCTCCAAGTTTTAGTATACCTATTCATTCTGTGTGCCGTGCGTACTATGATGTGTCAATTGGAGCCTATTAAAAAGTTGGAGGTTGTAGTGAGAACTTAGTGCTAGTGTTTGGCAGGATGAGACAGAAAATACCTGCCAGTAGCATACAATGTACAGCCAGTTTTATCATTGTAGAAACATTAGTGTTTATAGTCTAGTTAATAACTGTTCCCTTCTTATTTCTTAAAACTTCTTGGCACTATTAGAAGGCTGTAAATTTTCTCCTATACGTCTGCTTTTATGACTTTCTCAACTACCAAGGTAAGGCAAGAGTATCGTTTCCGTTACATCTCATTAATGTTTCTCCAATGCTGCCTTTCAGCATCACCAGAGTGCATCGTATATTTAAGAAGAAAGAATACCATTCTGCGGGAAGTTTGGCAGTCTGAAAGAATCCAGTGCAAATGATGGGTGTTTAACTCCAGAATTCGGGCTGCTTGGGGCAGTAGCATATGCTGTTCTACTGTGAAACATGCTTTGCTGAGTAAATCTCCTAAATTCCTTGGCATTCTTCTTGAGAAACGGAAATAGTGCCTTATCCTGTCCTTATAAACAAGGACACTACAACTAAAAACGTCTGATATGTTCTGACGTTGTTTCCTGCCCTGCATTGGGTGCTTCTTGTTAGACTGCTTCCAGCTTTTTAAAAAAGAGAATAGCTTTCAGTTTACAGCAAAAGGAGGAATGTGAAATCTGGAGCTAGGCTTGTATAATGACTCAGTTGTTTTAGCATTGTCATAGTATTTTTAAGTAGTATTTAGTTGAGCTTTTTAAAAATTTGGTTTATGCTACACATAGTGCAAAATAAATGCCTGTATTTTGCTAGCTGGAAACTGCTGAAACTTCTGGAATAGTATCATTCTCCTGTTCTTTTTAATGCAAATACCACTAAAGTACACACATCATCTGTTTGGGGATCTTTTGCTTGTGTTGACTCAAAGCCATTTTTGGTTACTGCATTTGTAACTGCAGCATCACATCATACCAAGATGTGTTAAAGGGAGATCAGAAAAGCAACTGTAGTGACAAAGTCATGATCTCAGTCAGAACTTCAGGCTAAGTAAAAATAAATGACTACAATACATTTTTATTTAGGTTTTGAATTGGCAAAATTCAAATTCCATTTGAAAAGGCAAAATTTGGTTTACTCAAGCACAGCTATTCCGGAGGGTGCATGGGAATCTTAAAGTTCTCAAATAGAACTGATATTTTTAATGCAAGGTATGTTTAACTATTAAACTTGTTACAACCTGGAATGGTAAAGGTCAAAAATACATTTAAGACTCAAAGATTCCAAGCCCCCTAGACAGTTATGGGAGAAGCCCCTCTCAAATGCTCTATCCATGTGCACGTGTAACCTAAGAAAGCCCTCAAGCCTCGTGTTGTTGCAGGGAGCTGAAAGAGGCATCCTCAGGGAAGAACTGAACTAGCCTTGCTGTGTTGTTTGTACCTGCCCTGAAAATCAGGGTTAGACATGTGGAAAGATCCTTGGGGATGATCTAGTCTTACTTTCTCACGTGTCAGTAAAATCTCCATGGCTTACGTCATTTCTATTTTTGCAGGAATATTTGGCATTAACTGACCTAAGGTAATAGTAACTTAGCCTCAGGGTTTCTTTCACTTCCTACCATTTTAGATGGTTTAAGGTCTTTTTTACTGCTCAGCTTCACATATATAGATGCCATCAGACCTARGGATTCACAAACATCTGTGGCAGTATTAGAAATATGTATTCAAAGGTATTCTTACTTTTTTTGCAGTTATGTTCTATGGTTTATATAACTTAGGAACCACAGAGCTATGCAAAACGGCCTCAGGAGAAGGGAAGTTSAGTTTGCCGTGATTTACCTGCTGTTGTGAGAACTTGGCTTTGCACTGAGAAACTGGATAGACTGCTTTTCATCAGCAGACCTCCATCCTGTGAGCTGCAGTTGAGCTTCAGAAAAATATTCAGGATAGTTGATGAGTTTTCATATTGTTTCACATTCGCCGATGAACGCATCAGGTGTGAGACACAGATGCTCTTGTCAGATCATCAGAGTACTCCTGGATTTCTCAATGGTGATAAATTACGAATGGAATTATTTAGAGACTGCTTCTCTTCAGCTAAATCCAACATGCAAGTGTTGGGTCAAAGAGCTGCAGCTCTGTGGCTGCATGGTGTGTATTAACATATTTGTGTTGCTTGCTGATTGACTCTTGAATTCAAACCAGCATATTGGTTTACACTAGTTTGAGGTGTTTAGTTAGGGTTGAATTTTGGAGTAGATGGATGGAAAATTGGAGAAAAGTCAGGACAGGTGTACTTCTAATCTGTACACGCTTAAGCAATATATTAAATATAGTTCTTATAAATAATTTAAATTTTCAGTAATATTTTTACCCAAGTCATTAGTTCTGCTACTTCCCAGTATTGAAAGCTGTTTTTGCAAATAAGGGGAGCTAAGTGTTATGGAACAGGCCTGTGGTAACTTTGGAGCTTTTAGGAACTCCTCGTTGAATGAGCTTCCTCTAGAAGTTGTCCTTGCTGATGTGTCCTGGCTCCTGTGTGAAGGAACAAGCAGTCTGAATGCTGGAGTTGTAGCAGATCTACCACAACTGGAGATTAYGGTTACTGCTTTGTGTCGCAAGTGCCTTATCTGCTACCACCCTGAAAAACCATGGTGCTAAGCAAGTGAGGACTCATCTTCACACTGACCTTCTACCATCTTTCAACCAGATAGAGAAATGTTTAATCATTCTGGGTACTTTGTCTGCAATGATAAAATGGCAGCTTTGGGAAGAAATCTTGGCAACCTTAAATCAGATGGAGGGAGATGCCGTGTTGAGAAACCTAGTATCTGTCAAAGTCAAATTAAGTCTCTGTGGTAGATTGAGTGTGTGGTGAAAGTGTCCAGCTATATTGCTTAAAGAATGCTTTTTGCCATGAACTTACCATGAACTGTGCTTTTATGTGCTGCATTCTT